GTTTGCAGTGGCTAACAACTTTGCAGCTCTGTCTTCAGATGTCTTCCGCTTTCTACACTTTTTGCATTCTTGAGCTCTTGTTTTCAGTGAAGTGAAGCACGGAGAGGATGAAGAAAGATTTTTCCCGTCACTAAATGAACTAAAAGACACAGAATCTGCTCAAAATTAAGGTAAGAGCTCAACTTACATTTTAAAATAGGGTTTTATGTTTCAGAAGGATTTCTTATTTTTAACATACGACACAGAGAGAGGATGGAAATAGAGCGAGGGCTTGGTGGTTTCTCTGTAAAGTGTTCATGTGAAGAAGAATCTCTCTGTGGCTGTGTGTGAAATGAAAGTGTTCACGTTTAATTAGTTTTCTTGTTATGATGTCGTGTTAACAGTAATGTTCATTTGTGTTTTATTTTAAACCCTCAGGTCGACTTTCAGAATGAAGGTGATTGTGTTGTTTGTGTTTGGTGAGTGAATATACTTGTGAAGACAATATTGTGAATAATCCTTTAAAATACTGCACACACATGTTGTAGATGGTGTGTGACCTCATGTTTAATCTACTTGAAAAGTCATGTAGCAATATGGTTGTTGTGGTGTTTTACTGATCCCAGGTGGTTTAATGTCACTCTACAAGTTTACGACAAAATGAAGAAAATATGACTTTTTTGTCTCTATGTAGAGACGTTTCATATATCCTCCTTTAAATAAGCATTGTTAAAAGACAAGTATTTATTTACTGTGATCATCTTCTTTTCAGTGCTGGGTGCACTCTCTGCTGCAGGTGAAGATTTCATTGCAAAAGTCGGGGAGAAAGTCACATTGAAGTGTGGGGTCAGCAGCTACAGACGCTCTCTGCAGTGGCATCATGGAAATGACCTTCTTCATAGTGTTGATCAGAGAGGCTTCCCTCGCAAAGGTCTTTGATTATCTTGAAACTTAACAGTAAACATCAGTATATGATGATTACATTATATTAGAACATATTTTTATTTTCTGTGTTAGGCAGTGTTGAACTTGTGCAGAGGTCAGTCGTGAGACAGACGAATCTGGAAATCTCCAGTGTGAGAGAAACAGATGCTGGACGGTTCACATGTTCGGCAGATGGACACGTCATAACCATTCACTTTCTGTGTTCTCAGGTAAACAGCAGACCCTGAAAAATATACATTTACAAATAAATGTTCAAATATAACCGAACAGTGCAGCGTTTAACATATTAGGACAAATATGGTTTTGTTTTCATTGTCCCCTGCACATTACATTGATAATCAGATTAATAAAAACATCACTGCTGAAAAATGAGGGGAAATTATTTTATGTGGCTGATGGTTCTTTTACTATAACAGGTAAAGGATATGCAGCAAATATACAAAATGAATTTCTTGCACAGCATGTCTTGTATATGTTTTGAAATTTGGAGACTACATTTCCCAAAATCCAACTTAATCCCCTCCTAGTCAACCTGGTGGTGGGCAGGACCACCACAGTGTTAAGTGTGGCCACCCTGCCATTACTGGAGTCCATCAGGAGAAGGGGAAGCATCGGAGGGGCCACGAACATATGCTGGGCTCTAGAATTACATCCATAGCTATTAAATATTACATAAGACACAACTATTAATTAATAATTCTATTTTTTTATACTATTAACTATATAAACAGAATTTTCTTTAAAAAACTACTTTAGCTTTATTCCTTCGTTTTTTTATTTCTTTTTGTCAGATAATTGAATAAAAAGCTTACTTTGTGTTTCTATATGACAGTCATGCCGTGTAAGCAAATTATAACAGTGACCAAAAAAACCAAACCAAACCAAACAGTCCAGGACTGCTCGTTTCTCTCACCAGCTGGGTCACTACTTATTACCATCCCTCTACAGTTAAATGTTTATTTGTGTTTCATTTCACCAAAAATGTTCCATGTGTGAAAGAGTTACCACTTTTACTTTAATTCTTAGTGTAATATGCTCTCATTGTATTTCATCTCATGTTATAAAGCTTTGTCATGTGTGTAATGAGTTTGGATGAAGCACCTTATGGTCTCCTTTTCTCTTTGTGATTCTCACTGTATCTGTTGTTGTCTGTCTGTTCTCCTTCTCAGTTTCGGTCTCCTCAAACCCTCGATGTTCTCGAATAAACGATGAGGCAACGCTTCAGTGTGAGGTTATAGGTCAGCACCATGGTTGTGAAGTGAAGTGGAGAAGTCCAAATACATATTCACTCACAAATACATCAACAGTTCAACTCAAACCTGTAAAAACCTCACATAACGGGCCCTGGCTGTGTATCGTCACCTGTGGCAGCAATACATTTAGTGAGCGTCTGGCCATCACAGTACAAGGTAATACACAGTTACTAGGAATGAAGACCCATGTCCACATATGTAGTCAATAGAAACATAAAGATGTGTGTTTTTGTTCTTCAGAGCCTCCAACTACAACTCCACCATCCACCATGAAGAACGTCACATTGTTTGTAACGAGTGTTCAGGGTACAACATGTACAACATGTGCGTCCAGCTTTTGAAAATGTCTGCAAATTGGATCAAAGTGATCCTTTGTTGATTGTGTAACTCATTCTTGTCGTTCTCACTTTCTCCAATGATCTGTGTTGCATTCAGGTGTTGCCAACGATTGCCCACTGGGACTCTCCTGTTGGATGTGGTTTGCGATTGGGCTGTGCTGCCAGTTTGGGATGCTCCTCATAGTTTGTGTCATTGTCTTGTGTAAGTGTATGAGAAGAAGGATGGTATGTGAGGAAAGGCGTTCATCAAATATTTATGTGTAGAGTTGATAGCTTACGATAAAAGAAACCAAAAGAAAATGGGTTAAACGCCTCCTGCACCACTGTGTTTACAGATTATGGTGAACTTCTTCTTAAAGTTCTTCATTGATTGTGTAACTGATCAGAGTCCTGATTTCACTCCACCAAGTTCTTACAAAAGTTCTGGCACACTTCACAACTCGTAAAATTCTAAAAGAGTGTCTCAGATTGAGTATTACACTCTTCAGTAAATTGGCGCAGATGTACAGATGAGGTGTCGGTTTGTTTTCTGGGCCTTCCTGGGTGAAACTAAGAACCAACTAAGATCTCTCAGACATCCGTTTAATTACACTTTATTGCCAGAAGTATTCACTCGTCTACCTTGACACGCATATGAACTTGAGTGACATCCCATTTTTAATCCATAGGGATTAATATGATGTACGACCAACTGTGGCAGCTGAAACTCTTACAGGAAGGCTTTCCAAAGGTTTAGGAGTGCTTATAGGTGTTTTTGGTGCTTTGTACACCTGGACACCTGTCTAGAAGCACATTTGTGAGGTCAGACACTGATGTTGGACTAGAAGGCCTGGCTCACAGTCTCTGCTCTAATTCATCCCAAAGTTGTTCTGTCGGGTGGAGGTCGGGACTCGGTGCAGGCCAGTCATGTTGTTCCAACAGGAGGGAATGTCAATGGAAAATTGTATTTAGTAGTCAGTATAATCTTTTAGTGATATAAGTTTGCTTATGGTAGGATGCTGTTTGTAGTTATTTGGTAGTGACAGGATGTGTGATTTTTAGCAGGCTTGGTTCACCCCCACATCCTGGGAGCGTGGGAGAGGTCGTACCTTGTTTTATTGTTTTAACGTAGCTATGTCTGTTTTAGTCTAAGTGCTTTAACTGCTGGACTTCCTCACCGTGCCATCTAGGGTGGGGGAGACTACCCTCTTTATGACCAAGGATGTACCCTTTGTTCTTTCATGTATATGACCCTTTGATCAACACACACACACACCACACACACACACACCACACACACACACACATACGCTCAATGGAGTATAAATAAAGACCAGGGCAGTTCTCTCACTGGAGTCTCTTAGAGTGGAGGCTGCCCTTGCTAGCAAGAAGTTCTGTGTGTTTCTCTTCTCTGAGTCTTTACTGAAGAAGTGTTTTAGAACATTTTCCCTAACAGGCCATCCCCAAAGAAGAATGAAATTGTCCAAAATGTCTTGGTATGCTGAGCATTAAGACTTCATTTTACTGGAACTAACCAGCTGAGCCCAACTAATGGAAAACAATCCCTCACAATAATCCTCCTCCACCAAACTTTACACTTAGCACAACGCAATCAGACAAGAAGCGTTCCCCTGGCAACCGTCCATTGCATTGTCCAGATGGAGAATCTTGATTCGTCACTCCAGAGAACATGTCTCCACTGCTCTAGAGTCCAGTCGTCGTGTGCTTTATGCTGATCTGAAGATCACATGAAGGTTGGAGGTCTGTAGTGATTGACTCTGCTCTGTGATTTTATATGTCCTACATCTTCATGGGTGTGCTGCTGTTATACCACTTTGGTGTCATACCACTAAGAGCTGACCGTGGAATATTTAGCGAGGAAATTTCAGAAATGGAAGTGACCAGAACACCTGATTTACTGATTTGGATGCTTGAGTGAATATTGTTAGTATAATGCCAAGTCCCAAACATTAGAGCAACTTCCCCAAGTCTCTTCACTCTTTCTTAACCCTGACTGTTGATTTCCGCTGCCATCATTTATCACTACTTCCTCTTCTTTTATTGGACAATTACAGCTTGACATTGTGATAATTTGATGATTCTTGTTTTGTCTTGTTTTTTATTGCATAAAGAAAAGCTTTGTTACTTCTGCTGTGATAAATAAATGTTTTTCTGTCAAGTTATGTGCTTTTTAAATTTTTGTTTCTGATATTTTTTTTCTACTTCTTCTTCTACATGATGTCAAAGGACGTGGATAATGTTAATGTTGTTAATTTTTCAGGTATATAGCTTTAGCTTTGAGGACATAAGCCCCACCCTCCTGTCTTTCTTATCTTGTATTTGTGAGGGGCAACCAATCAGAAGGTTTTCTCACAGAGAGTAGGGCTGAATATTAGATGAAAATCAGATAAATAAGGCTCACCTGTCAATCGATATGACCAGCTGGTGCCTTTTGGGGAAGTTTTAATGGACTGTGTGACTAATATTCTCATAACTGATAACCAACCCAGAAGTCTGTGCTTCAGTTCAGGTGAGTGAAATTCGAGTGTTTTATTTGTTTATTACTTGGAACTCAGGATGTGTGGGACTAATCATCGTCATTGTCACTAGTCGTAAATGTGGGACTGTTAAAATTTAAAAATGATGCCCATTGCCAGTAACTTACTTTGTCCTAAATGTTGGCAACACTCTGCCACTAGATGGCGCATTGTTGAGAAATGCCAAAAATCTGTGAATCAAGCCCTGTGTTAACGACAGGAAATAAGCTTTCTCTGAAAGGTGGATGGGCTCTCCCTTGGCGATAGGATGAGGAGTTCAGTGATTATGGTTCAGATTAGAGCCGCTGCTCCTCCACATCGAAAGGAGACCGCTAAGCCTGTCGCCCCCTGGGTGTTCAGTGTTGTGCCAAAAAGTGATCCTCTGTCCAAAACTGATTTGTTTTCACGTGTTTCTTATGTGTAATGTCTTTACTTATATTGGTAAATACACTTTATAATAATAATGGATTGCATTTATATAGCGCTTTTCGAGACCCTCAAAGCGCTTTACAATTCCACTATTCATTCACTCTCACATTCACACACTGGTGGAGGCAGCTACAGTTGTAGCCACAGCTGTCCTGGGGCAGACTGACAGAAGCAAGGCAGCCATATCGCACCATCGGCCCCTCTGGCCATCACCAGTAGGCGGTAGATGAAGTGTCTTGCCCAAGGACACAACGACCAAGACAGACAGAGCTGGAGATCGAACGGGCAACCTTCTGGTTACAAGATGAGCTTCCCAACCCTCTGAACCACGATCGCCCCAAACGTTAGTGAACAGGATTTACAAACATTATACGTAAAATTGAATAATTACCTGTTTTTCAAGTATCTTTATGACTCCATGTTATTGTATCTATGTCCTTTTTGGCAACTTAAAATATGTTTACAGGACTATTGTTATATTTGTTGCAATTCCTGCTGTCCACTTGGCCAGATTACTTTTTTTAAAAAGACATTTTTAATGTCAACAAGATTTTTTACCTTATATATAAGCCACTGCAAAAACACTGATTGCAGCTTCTACCTTGTGATAGGAATGTCGTTTGTGGCTCAAGATGACTTGATATAATTAATCAGGGACACAGTTGACATATGTTTCACATATTATAGGCCAACAAGTTATTTAAAGCAGATATAATACAAACAATTACTTTTTGGCAAACAATCACTCAGGCCTACCGATAGAAGACCTGGCCCCTACTTGAAGGTAACAACTCTAACATTTAAATGTCTTAAACCATTTAAAGATGAAACTACATTTGTATTAAGACAGAATCTGAATTGATGCAGTAACAAATCAAGTTTACAATAGCAGCATTTAGTCAAAATCATAATTTTTTATTTCCTGGAGTCTAACGTAAAAAATGTATTCTGATGTGGAGACAAGTGTCATGCCAGCTTTAATAACTTGTACGATTGGATTATTTTAGGTGGCTCACTACTGCCCTCTATGTAACATTATATGTGAGTTCTTAAGTCCTTAAAACTCTGCAATGGAGCTAGTGACAGCAACAATTATCGCAAATATCAGACACAATGTCTGCTTTTATGGGAAACAGGCCACGTTTGAAAGTGCAGGATTTATATTTAAATCAGTTCTTACATAATGACAAAAATAACAAGCACCTGTTCCCTGGTCAAAAAGAGGAATGTGGAAACTGGGTGGAGCCATGTGATCAAATCTGTGCTCAAAGAAGTCAAAGGAGAGACCAAATCAGTATAGTGATTACAAAGGCATGAAGTCTTAAACATTTCTTCTGTTAAAAACCTCCTTGGAGGATGGAGATGATCTGCTGTAAAGACCCACCCAGATCTTTGTGGGTTTGCTACTCATGTCTGTAAGTCATAACAGGAAAAATAGAAAGAATGGTAAATGGTAAATGGACTGGTTCTTATATAGCGCTTTTCTACTCTGTCTGAGCACTCAAAGCGCTTTATACGACTAAGAACATAAGAGTTTGAAAAAAGACCAATATTTATTCATCACAGCAGAAGTAAAAAAGTAATAGTTTTCAATATAAAAGAAAATGAAGGTAAATGAGCTGATTTCAAGAGTTAAACTCAGTTTTATTCTTTTGTGTTGTGTTTGTGTTCAAATATTGTGTTCAGCATTTCGTCACTGATCTTCCCCTCTTGTCTTACCAGGTTTAGGAGAGTGGAGCGACTGTGAAATCAAGTGTTGCAGTTGTTTGTCTGTCACAGGAACACAAGCATGGAGCAGGACTCGGGAACCACGTTATTGAAACTGTTGCACATTGCTCACTAATTGCCACTATAAATAAACACACTGTCTTGGACTGGAAGGTCCTGCATTTGGGTCCCGTTCTTGCCATGCACCCTGACAAACTCAGTTACAGATGTCATAATAAAAGTTAAAGCGGGAATCATTAGTAGAGAAACTCATCAATTTTCTTATTCAAACATGAAACAAACCTTTTTCTTTCAGCTATGTTGGTGATAGACGGATATAAATCCTTCAAACTTTCACTTTTTTGACAGATTTACACATCAGCAGCTATGATATTGATCTCTGTTCAGAGCAGATGTGGAGTATGGTGCCCCCTGCTGAAGCACCTCAAAAGTTACCTCATTTTATTTTAATGCATTTATCATCTGTCCTACATTATAAGTAAAGGAAGGAGGAAGCATGTATAATAAACTTGTAGGTTTCTTATTAACTAATCTATTTTGTTTTATACCATGCATTAAATAAATATATTATGTAAAAGTTTTTGAGTAAAGACTACTACTGTAAACCTGATTTCACCTCAGCATCAATTAAGGTTATGTATTTCTAATTTAATCTTTCATAAAAACGTAAATGGTTTAGGGCCGTGCGATTTACTAGTAAAATTGCCTCGTATGCTGCATTTTGGTCCTCATCCCTCTCTTGCACTGCATTTCTCTTGGATGGATGTCGCCACGATGACTTAATGGTTGTGAAATCCATCTTCTGAAGCCTCATTAGCCTCCCCCAGGTGCTAACAAAGGCAAACATCATCATTTTTAGACCACATTCAGGGTGGTCAGTTGGTTCTCTGCTTACTTGGTTAAAAAGCTGCATCCAAAAAACTGTACAGTATGACGCACATAAGACACATACTTACTGATATGTGTTTGAGCTCTATATGCTCAAAGTAATAACTAATTACTTAATTAGTTATTAAAGAACTTACTTAAAGAAGTCCAGACGCTTTTCTTTGCAAGCTCCTTTGACAACTAATAAAACACTTGAATTTCACTCACCTGAACTGAAGCACGAACCTCTGGGATGGTTATTAGATATCAGAATATTAGTCACACAATCCATTAAAATGTCTCCAAAACGCACCAACTGACCACTTAGATTGACAGGTGAGCCTTATTTGTGTAATACTATCTAATATTTAGTTAATATTTATCTAATAGATAGCTTTACCCACCTTGAGAAAACTTTCTTCTGATTGGCTGCCCCTCACAAATACAAGATTAGAATGGCAGGAGAGTGGGGCTTATGTGCTCAACCCTAAAAGCTATTTAGCTGACCAATTAACATGAAGATTATCCACTGTTTTTGACAACATATAGAGCAAAAACTAGAAAAAAAATATCAGAAACAAAAATTGAAAGAGCACACAGCTTGACAGAAAGACATTTATTTATCACAACAGAAGTAACAAAGTTTTTTTTTTAAGTAAAATAAAACGAAACATGAATCATTGAAAAATCACGATCTCCAAACCAAAGGAAAACAAGTTGTTTTGGTGCT